GAATTGCAAAATGTTTTAGACGAAACGATTGCCGCATTTTTTATGTGATTTTATATGTATACATTCACTTACATCCACAAAGTCTCATTTTATGTATTTTATTTCGACAATCTCCCTACTATCATTATCTTAGCCAGATTCATTTATAATTTATTTCGACTCATGTGATACCCAAAAACGTAAACTTATACACCAGAAAAACGAAAATTGTAAGAAAAACCAACAACCAACAAAAAATCAAAAGCTGTGTTAATCAATCTTTGATAGATCTATGAAAAAATCATATTTTTTTCACAATAAGTAATTAAAAAATCAAATTCATATAAGCAAAATTATTGTTTAGTACATACTTGTTCAAAATCACAGTTAATCATTTGTATTTTCAAATATTTAATTTAACCGCACAACCTCAAAAACCCAAAAATATTGTAAACAACATTAGAAATAGTGTGAATATCATATCAAACAAAAATCAATAAAATTGTACAAGCCAATTTGCTCTAATAACAAAACAAACCAATGCTATTTTTATTTATATTTATTCATTTACAGCTACCTTCAAGTAACTTCGAAAGGGGCAGCCAATCTAATAATCTAATAAAAATATATTTGGGTGTATATATATGTATATGTAATAAGAAGTACATATAATTTTTCACCCTTAAGCATCCCCTTGACAAAGGCTAGCAAAGATGCCATTTTGTTTGCCAAAAACTATTACTGATTCTTCAATCTTCGCTTTGATGAACTCCCTAGATTTTTTAAAGGCATTTCACATTGATCACCATATTTATCTATTATATTATTGTTTTTTATTTATTATCCTCCTTTCAAAAATTTAATTGTTTAATCATAAAAAATCCATCTTTAAATGTATCTTCCGAAATATATAAATACTTTTATTCTATTATACTTTTCATATAACTAAATTTATAAAGAACTAAATAGTTTTCTCACTTGACATCTCGTAATTCGGATACCTACCCCCAAAATCCTTTCACATATTTGGAAAGTATCTATGATAGTATAGATATCGCTGAAATTGTTCAATTTAAATATTGCTATATAGAATGGGGGAAAGAAATGGATTTGGAGATGCCGAATTGATTCTCACCTTCAAAACTATGCAGTTAGATAGTAACTACAAGTGTGTCCACAATCAAAGAGTAATTATAAGTACATATATGTGCTTTATTTTTGTATGTCGTGTACAGCTTTAACCTTTTGTTCGGATTTGGAATAGTTTTTGATTTTTTTTAAATTCATGAAAGCCGAAAATTTCTTCAAATTCCTTCCGAAGGCTTTTTTTAAATGTATAAATTTCTATAGTTTTAAACAAAATTTAAATAATTTACCCCTCACGTTACTGCTGATCAATTAAATTAAAAAATATAAAACCCGTTTTCCCATGTATTTTTAAAAATTATCATATTTTTGTTGAAGTTTAAGCAGTTTACTTGAATATATTAAGTAAACATCACTTTTTATTCGTGCACAGATGTATCATCGATAAATATTTAATCTAAAATGTAAATAAATGAACTTGTTTTTACTCGATCAAAACATTGCAAAGGCATATGTAAAAGTATCTCAAGAAAAAGCTTTGTTCATGTAAACGATAAGTAATATCATATGCAAGGTTTAATAGGTAAGCCAATGCCTGTGAATGCTTCTTCCCAAAACGACTTCCGAATCTATGAAAAGAGCACATGACGAGGTAACAGATAAGACTGTTTATATTTTGATTTAACATCCAATTTGTTTGAGATTAGATAAGATACTTTTAGTCAGCTTTGCATACACCACTAATACATGTAAATAAATGAATAAGACTAATACAGGAATCACTCACACTACCCGTAGTGCTAGAGTAGACATTAATTTAGGAGTAACTTTGAGGTTGGTCGATATTCGTCGTCGCTTTATTACGATATTGCATTTCAGCGTTTATGTTAACATTAAATGTTTGGTGCAACGTAAAAGTTTACTAATTTCGATTTTGCGAGTCGAGGCTTTCCATTTTCTTTTTCCATTTGTGACGATTTCGAAAAACAATAATAAATAACCAAATGATAGTTTCAGATTGAGAGAATGCTAATATCAACTGAAGGCCGTAGACGTTCATTAAGACATTTCACTTTACAAGCCGGCAACAATGATCGATGGATTTTCGACGGCAGCCTTGACTTTCCTCAGGAACAGGACAGCCTCACGCCCATCGATGATGCGATGGTCGTATGTCAGGGCGATGTACATCATGGGACGAATTTTGACCTGAATTTCCCAAAAATACATAAAAATATATAAAACAATTAAGGAGTTTGAAATTCCGTGAACCTCACCTCTCCCTTAACAGCAATAGGCCGCTCAAAGATACCGTGCATTCCGAGAATGGCACTCTGTGGCGGATTGATGATCGGTGTGCCCATCAGGGAGCCGAAAACTCCACCGTTGCTGATGGTGAAAGTACCACCGTCCATATCCTCCACGGTGATGGCATCCCGCTTCGCCTTGTCGGCCAGGCCGGCAAGCGCAATCTCAATGTCGGCGTAATTCATGCCCTCCACGTTTCGGATGACGGGCACTACAAGGCCGCGGGGTGTGGCCACTGCCACCGAGATATCCACGTAATCACGGTAGACAATGTCCTGAAAAAGAAAAAAGAAATTTTAATCGCTTGGCAACACAAAATATTCCACATTTCGTCATCTCGCCACGGGAAATTGCATAAACAAAAGGGGAAATAAAAACGAAATTGTCCGCTGATAAGGAAATTTAAACAACATAGTCTTATCAAAGTACGTCACGGGGCGATTAGAGACTAGCTGTGGGCGGGGCGCGGCGTGGGCGTGTTACCTGACCATCGATGACGGCGTTCACCACGGGCTGATCCTGCAGCGCATAGGCACTGGCCTTCGAAAAGATGGACATGAAGCCCATCTTGATGCCATACTTCTTGATGAACTCATCCAGATGCTGTTTCCGGAAGTTCATGGCGTAGCTGAAAATAAAGAGATAGATATTATTTACATCTTATCTAAAGCATAAACTAAATCTAAATTCTTTGATTAGAATTCGTGTTTGTTTTGATGCCAGTTTTTATATTTGGAAGCCTGATTAATATAATCTAATCATTTCAATTTATGAAACCCCTTAAATTACGAATTTTTGGTCATTTTCAATTACGTTCTAGAAGTGCCTCAATAATCCAATCGAACCCCAGCTTATTTCTCCATAAATAAATAAATATCTTAAGCCTGAAATCACACCATCACTTACCTCATGTCGATCTCGTTGAACGTCGTGAGCATGGCACACGTGTTCTGGGCATCCTTCAGACGAGCAGCGATCTTTAGTCGCATACGGTTCATCTTAACACGCTGCTCGGAGCGCGTGCCCAGGATCTGGCGGGATCCGTCTGCGGGCGGCACCTTAACCTGGGCCACTGCTGGCTTGAGAGTAGCCGCTGGTGGGGCAGCAGGCGCCGCACGAGGAGCTGCCTTCGGCGGCGGTGGTGGCGGAGCCTTGGGCGCCGCGGCAGCAGGAGCTGGTGCCGCTTTCGGTGCGGCAGCAGCGGGTGCCGGAGGAGGAGTAGCTGCCGGAGCAGCTGGAGCCGGAGCAGCCGCTGCGGGAGCAGCAGCCTTGGCGGGCGCCGCACCTGGCTTCATCTTGAACAAAGCCTGGCCGGGCTTGACGGTGTCGCCATCCTTGACCAGGATTTCAGTCACGGCACCGGCAAAGGGAGCGGGCACTGGCACCGTGGTCTTATCGGTCTCGATCTCCATGACCGCTTCGTCAGCCGCGAACGAGTCACCCACTTTGCAGGTGAACCTGGAGGGGAAGAGGAACACGAATTAGATTGGGAATGGCAGAATAACAGGTCCGAAACCTGTTGCTGGGTCCGAGTCATCGACCAGACCTCACACTTACTTGATATCACCCTCGGCGATGGAGTCGGCGAAGGGAGGCACATTCACCGTCTGCTCTGACCACATGCTTGACGTGGTGTGGATACCCTGCCAGACGAGAACCCTGAAAATACGCGTTAGTCGGAAGACGGCTTCAATGGCTGGATCGGAACTCACCTGGAGGCCTCTTGGCAGCGGAGGGTGGCATCATTGCGGAGAAGGGCTTGCTGCTGAGCGGCACAGGCGACAAGCCGGGAATACTGGCGGATGCAGCGCTTCAACTGGGGGATAGCCAGAAAATTAGTGATTGCACAACTAGGAGACGTATTGTAGATCACGTGCGGTGGGCGTCATAAGAGGCTCGCCGGCCAAAAACAATATATTTCACTATTTTTCAGCGGCGCACGCACACACGCATACAATTACATAATCACAAAATGCCAGGCGGGCAGCGAAAGTGAATGGATACAGCATATATTTTCGGAATACGGATCGTACACCTGGCACACACACACCTGGTGCCCCCTGCCCGCATCCACCACACCGATTTACCTCTTGGCTACGAAGGGCCCGGACTCCCAGAGTCTGGGGCAGCCGTCTCGTTACGATTGAAATAATTCCCGTCATGGCTGCGACTCTGCTTCGCGAGTGTGTGAGAGTGTGTTAGGGTACCACTTGTCAATTTTATAAAAATTGTATTAAAACTGAATTTGCGGCTATGGCAAAGCAAAGTCGATTTTGCAGTCCGCCTTATTCCTCGCTTTTTTCCTCGCTTTTAAAAACACCAAATCTTATGTCATGACAGATGATTTTCTATCGATTCCTATCGATTGTAACCAACTATCGCACTAGTCGGCGCCATGGTGCAAGAGGGTCCTGGGTGGTCTCTTTGTGAGAAATGTTTTTTTTTAAAGTCCTTTGCTATTGTTATCTTTGTTTAGCTCCTATTTCTCTGGGGGCGGACAAAGAGAACTGGAAATGATGTCCTGAACAAAGCTGAGGAATCCACCCTACATATGGCACCATGCCACGGTGAGGTGGCAACCATAACATACGGACTGCTAGGGCTGGTAACGCATCGATAACCGATAACATTTGATTACTTCTCTCATTGCTGAAAGTTTCGCAAACTGAAAAGTTGCAGAACTATAAATCCGAGGAAGCCTTTCCACCTGCGTTCAAAATGAGTTCCAAGTCCCTATTCGAAAGCGACGAGGATGCCGCCCAGGCCAACAAATTCGCCAAGAAGGCCAAAGAAAGCCCTTTTATGCTAGTGGGTAAGTTTCGCGAGTGCCACACACGCACACACATACGCACGCTCAAGTTCAGAGTGCCGCCGTGACGTCACACGGAAAATTTTGGCTGCTGCAGGCCAATTGAGAAGTGTGATGCGTGAGAAAATCGGCCAATCTTGACCTTGACCATGAGGTTTACACGCTGAGGTTAATGACAACTCGCAGCCGTATGCGAAATTCGGTGACATAACGGTAAATGTTTCGAGATACAGATACGCCTGGAAAGCGAATGATGTAACAGGAATTTCCGGTGCATCTAACGGTTGTCGTGCGGTGTGACAATTAACAGCTGACATTAACAAGATTTCTTAAGTTTACTATTTGTCCGTTAAAATGATACTTCTGTTAAAAACAAGGCATTTTTATCAATGTTTTATTAAGTTTCAGCCGTATTTCCTGAAATTATTTAAAAATTTAAATAATTGGAATTTATTTTTTTATTTGTTAACGATTTGCTTTTATCTTCACCACACCGAAACTTTCTAATTTGAATTCCCGAGAACCGTATAAAGGCATTATAAACAGAAATGATAATCGAAAACATTTGTTACATTTAGGTTTAACTTTTTATCTAAAAAAAACCTTATATAACAGTCTTAAAAAATAGTCTGCATTAAATAAAGCCAATATAAATAGTTTTCTTTTGTGATCATTGTTCAGCATTTTTGTTGTCAGTTCATGCGACATCGTCTGGCTTTTATCAGCTCACGCGAACTTTCCGCTAGCAACAACAAACCTTTGAAACGGTGACAAAGTGACGCTGATCTTGGGTTCTACTTTTACTACTACTTGCAGGCATTGCTGGATTTGTGGCCGCCGGATTGATTGGGGCGTACAAGTACAAGAACCGCGGGACGATGAGCACCAGCGTATTCCTGATGCAGCTGCGTGTGGCGGCACAGGGGACCGTGGTCGGCTGCTTGACCGTCGGATTGGCCTACAGTATGGCTAAGGAGTACCTCTTCGAAAAGGCGCCCAAGGAGAAGTAAGGACTCGAGTTCCTACTTAGTTAATACTAGCTGTAGTTGTAGTTGATGTCACTCGTAAGTCGTTCGCACACAAGAGACCTCGAACCCAATCCTAATTCGAATCTTAATTTGTTTATTCGATTTCTATTTTATTTTAAACTTTTTGTCTTATTTTACGAAAACAGTTGAATATTTATTTAATCATCACCCTTTTATTATCATTTTTATCTCACATTTACCTGATTTTTGTTTCATTTTAGTACCAAGTCACTGACTAACTAAACTCATATGATTGTAAGACCTCCCTCTTCAAAAGTACCCACAAGAACACCTTACCGGGATAAAATCGGCTAGCCCGCATACATCTAAGCAAAATGTATCTCTATTTATGTATTTTATCAACAAAATATTTTAAAATTTGCACCGAGCGAAAGACGGTGAGAGGATTATCGAAGGAGGGCTGGGCTCTTAACATTTAACAAAGTGTCCAAGCCATGAGAACAAGACAATGTTTTGTATACCTGCGTAAGATTGTGATAATGTTTGTTTTAATTGTACAAGTTTAACATCCAAGCGGAAGCTGTCGAGGACAGACGACAAGATGAATGAATACCTCTCGCAACATATAATATAATTAAATAAAAAAGTAGGCTAAAACCTCTCATGTCTTGTGATTATGAAGGCGGGAAAACCCTCTGCTAATATTGTAAAAGTCATACGATATAAGTCTTTGCTCTTTTAGCTATTTATTTGCCCACTCAGCTGGTGACACTCTTATAAAGTGTAGGTTCCCATTTGGGGTTTAGTTAAGAAGACTAAGAAGCAGAGGTGTTAATGACCTTCTCATTGTCGTAGATCTCCTTGGCGTAGCACAGGTTTGGGTAGTCGAAAGCGGCGCCGTAGCGGTTCTTGCATCCGGAAGTCGACTTCTCGCCTGGGTTGTACACGGGTTGACCCACAATGTTGGAGGTGGCGAAGTTGCAGGTCAGCACGAAATGGTTGTAATAATCCTTTGAGAAGCGCACTGCGGCACATCCCACATGAGTGTTCTTCTCAGCCACCGCAATTGTGAACTTGGCCACATTTTTGTTGGGCAACTCTTCGGGAAAGTTGGCCAGGATATCGGGAGAGGCATTGGAGCGTTCGGCGAACCAATTTTCGATCTGCTCCTTAACGATCTCCGCATCTGTGTACTCGGACTCTGCTCCACTGTAGCTGAAGATGGCGTTGTTTTGACCAGCATAAGCGAATCGCTCGGTGCTGCGGCACTTATCCGGCAAGGACTCACAGGTCTTCACGTTGAGTACAGCAAGATGAGCGAGCTCCTCGCACCAGGACATCTTGGCCATGCGAACAGCTTTGGGTAAGCCCTCTATTTGACCCCCGGCCACTTTGTTTCGGAGTTCGTTGAAGAGGGTGAGGATCAGCTTGTGATGGGGTTCCATCTTTACCACACGGGAATCCTTTGGGCAGTTTTCGCTAAAGTTCTGTTAGATCAATTTAAAGGGTATTAATACTAAAGCGAGGGGTTTCGCAATATCTTTTCTTACTCCTTTGTTATTGCAGGCGATGTGCTTATCCAGACAGGTGGGTAAAGCACAATAGTCCGCAGCAGAGGTGATGGCAACCACTGCCGAAAGGAACACACTAATTGCTTTTGTGAGGAACATTTTGGTGCATTCACTTGACTATTCAGTTGGGTCTGAGCAATCAATGTGGTCGAGCCATCTTTTATATGCCCCGTGAGAGACTGGATTCATTGTTCCACAAATTCAATAGAACTCAGCTGTGAAAATAGTAGGAGTCCCAATCCAGCTGCCATACGAAAGCACTACAAATTTTAAGTTTCTCTTTAAATAGAATATAAAAAAGCCATCAGTCAGCGGCCAGCATTGTCATGAAGTCTTTGTTACTGTTCTGTGACTCGAAGTGGACTACTGTGCCTTGCTCACCTGCCTGGACAAGTACATTGCCTGCAACAACAAAGGAGTAAGAGGTCCTAGATGAAACTCACTGAATTTTCCTCCCAGAATTTTGACGAAAACTGACCCAAGGATTTCGGTGTGGTGAAGATGGAACCCCATTACAAGCTGATCCTTACACTCTGCAACGAACTCCGAAACGAAGTGCTGTTCCTGGCCAACTATCCTGAGGAACTTCCCAACAAAAATGTGGCCAAGTTTACAATTGCGGTGACTGAAAAGAACACCCATGTGGGATGTACCGCAGTGCGCTTCTCAAAGGATTATTACAACCATTTCGTGCTGACCCGCAACCTCGCCACCTCCAACATTGTGGGTCAGCCCGTGTACAACCCAGGCGAAAAGTCGACTTCAGGAAACAAGAACCGCTACGGCTCCGCTTTCGACTACCCCAAATAATATCAGTAATTTAAGAATTTTCGAAATTATAAAGCACTTCATTTTGCTATCCTTTAGGTACATTTGATTTTATTTTATTGAAATGCAGCACCAAATTAGAATTAAAATTTCAGATGAAATGTTAATGTGGGAAATATGGATGCCGCTTTGCAGCTGCGGCACGTGCCTCTAGGACCTTGTGGCTGTTGCACTTAAGATGGCTTTGGTAATGCTTTAGTTGACGGAAACCAATTAAGCAAGTGTCACATCTGAAAGGGAGTGAGGGTGTGGAATTAGTGATTGAAGAGTTGCATCATCATATTTGCACATAAACGAGATTTAAGTATGCAATGGATAAACCATTTACTTGCAAATTGCAACACAAATTGAGCTTCATATAATTACCTGTAATCGCGGGCCGAGTTATGCAGATTCTGATGTGCGCGGCAGGCGCTTGGAGTCACAAAGGACTTGGGACAATACTCGCAGTGGTGAATCCGCTTGCTATCATCCATGTGGATTCTTTGGAGGAGAAAATATTAGCTTAAGAAGGGATAACATGTAGGAAATATATACCTCTCGTGCGTGGAGCGAGCACTGCTAAAGCGGAATGATTTTCCGCAGTTGTAGCGGCACACATATGAACGCTCAGACGAATGGGTTTTCATGTGCGTTTTCAGTGCGGAGCCGACGGCAAAGGAGGCGTCACATTGCTGACACTTGTGGGGACGTGCGCCCGAATGACGCAAAATGTGACTCTTCAGAATGAAGACGGAAGACAGCCTCTTGCCGCAAATATGACACACGTGTTTGGCTTCATCCCGCTTTTGGCATACCTCGATGTGGGTGTCCAGCAGGATCTGGTTATGGAATTTAGCCTTGCACTTGTCGCACTCGTGAGTGCATGGAAGGTTAAACAGTTGGCAATGCTTGGACATTGCAGCTGCCGAGCGAAAGCCCTCATCGCAGTGGTCACAAACGAATCTGAAATGGAAAACTCTCTATTAGCTTTTTCATACCAATAATAGTGGGAGTTTGACTGCATTAACAATGGTATTTACTTGGTATTGGGCGAGACGTCGTGCAGCTGGTACTTGTGCATCCTGAGCTCTTCCGCATCATCAAACCCGAGTCCACAATTGCTGCAGGTGTGATTTGGAGAGTCGGGACTACCGATTGACTTGTTCTCTTGAGAGTGTGCTGGTTCAACATGTATTACCTCAAGTGTCTCATCCGACAACTGAGGTTCTGGAACACCAAGTAGAGCATCTACAATAACGTATTCAGGTGTCAGGTACTCGGACTCAGCGATGTCATCTTGAGCCTCCTCCTTTACGACCTCTTCCTCCGGGGAATCGATCCACGGGTACTCATATTCCTCTTCATCCTTGCCCCTATCTAGCTGGTGTTGTAGTTGTTCCTGGGCCTCGATGCAAACTCGGCGAAAGTGAGTTGCTATCTTCAGGTCAAGCTGACAGTTTTGGCATATCAGCTTAGGTAAGTTGTCACCGTCCTGCAGCTAAAACCGTACACTCGTAAATACCCTCTTCCTTACTTCCGTGTCATGGGGATACGCTACTCACCAGTATATTGGTCAAGTCCTCGATTTGGACCAGAAGCGAAGCACTCGAGGGCTCAAACAGATTGCTGGCCGTCCCAGGATCTGCTTCCTGCGAACAGGTCCTGCATATATCCCCCATGCCTTAAAATTAAAACACCAAAATCGATTTGGTACCAGAGACGGTTTTTGTTTGGAAAAAAGAAGAAGAAACTACCCCCAAAATCAACGCCGTTCCCACAGAACAACAACCAGCTGAAGGACATTCACGTGTCAACGTTGACAGCCCGCTTATATTTAAAATGTAATGTTTAATGTTTATCCACAGCGTTTGCGAGCACTAGCAACTCTCTTTTTGTGCAGTTTGGTATTCTGATGTAGCGCCAGGTGCGTTGCCCGCAAAAACCAATGCTGACAGGTCTCGCAGCTGGAAAATAATCAAGTTTGATCAAATATATTCGTGATTTAAGAATTATTATAGCAATACTAACTGATATTTTCGGTTGTTCGTGTGCAACAACTCGTGCCGCTGCCGAGTCGACGTCGAGGTAAAGGCCATCTCGCAGTACTGACACTGGAACGGCCGCTCATTGGTGTGCGTACGCTCGTGGATCACCTTGCTGCTGCAGCCGCGGAATGTCTTGTCGCAGAAGCGACAGGCGTAGGGCCGGGCATCGGTGTGCAGGATCCGGTGGCGGCGCATCTCGTTCTCCGTGTAGTACTTAGCCTGGCAGACGTCGCACTCGAACGATTTCTGGCCGGTGTGGCGCAGCAGATGCAGTTTTAGGTAGGTGGAACACTTGAACACTCCACCGCACTGATCACAGACCCATGTCTTGGCGTTACGCATCGCCTGCTTGGCCTTGCGAGCTGTAATTTTCGTAGTGCTCTTGGAACTCGCAGTGAGCTCGTCCATGTTTCGAACCTGGTCTTCATCTGGAAAATCCTCTGGCTCCGCACCAGTGTTTTGTTGATCCTCATCTAAATATTTCTGGTCCTGCTCGTTCTCTTCGGTGTGCTCCTCGTCATCATTATCTTGATCCTGTTCATCTTGATTAAGGTGGTCTTCCATGTCATCTGTGTCCTTATCAACAATCTGCAACATATCCTCTTCCGAGGGCGCACTACCTCCCATTAATTCTGTTTCATCTTCAAGGCATTCGGCTTCCACTTTATTAGAATTTTCCTTCCATTGCAGATGCTTCTTTTTGGTGACCAAAAATGACCGATGGACTTTCAAAAACTTTGAGCGGAAAGCCAACATTCTGTCCAGATCCTCTTTACATTCTTGGCAAACGTGATCAGGCATAGAATTATCGAACTCCAGCTAAGATATTGTAACTATTAATACATGTATTTTAGCCATAAATTTAATGTAATAAATGTTGCTTACAAACATGTCGGTGATATCCTCAATAAGTCTAATGAAATGGTAGTTTGACTTTTCAAAGAGCTTAACGGAGCTGGACTCATTTTCTAGTTTTATGCCACAAGTGCGACAAAGCGAGCGCAACGCACACATTTCAAATAAACAAAATCCGAAAACATTAAAATGTTTGTGTTTAATTTTCAGGGAATTGACACGGCAGAAGAAGAAGCAAGCCAGCTGCTCTTATTTTTGTTGACGCGACTCCGGGGTTTCAGCCACGCCCGAGTTTGGTCACACTATTTGTACAGATGGCGGATTTGCAGCCACACTGCCCGGCAGAAAACAATAAATCTCGTTCAAAACAATAAGTTTTAAATATTTGTGAAACCATGACAAGCGAGTGTCGCCTATGTTGCGGGAAGATCTTCACTCCGCACCCGAAGAACCTCTTCGAGAAGCGCAACCAGCGGATTCTAACGGCCATCCAGCAAATCACGGGCTTGGAGGTGGCGTCCCTTTCTTTTGTGTAAATAACTCAACTAAAATAGCTAACTTTTAGATCGTTTTGGAGACCACGCTACCCAAGCACATCTGTGCCAACTGCCTGCTGGACCTAAGCCACGCCGTAGCCTTCCGACAGCGCTGCTTGCAGGCACACGAGAGTCTGCACAGGAATCCCAGCAGATCGAATGACGCCTCAGCTGATAGCGCTTCGGCTATCAAGAAAGAATGCAGTCCCCTGCCGAAAGACGAACTTGATGGATATGACAGCGAAAATGGCTATAACTCCGAAGACAAGAATGAATACGATTCGCCCAGGGAGCCCTCACCGGTGCCAAAAAAAATAAAACAGGAGCTACGGATGCCTAACAGTCAATCGCCACGGGTCAGGATCAAGCGCCTCCACGTGCCGGAGCTCCGGAAACCCACTCCGTCTGAGCCAAAGCGAGACGGCCGCAAGAGACGGCGGCGTCCCAAGCCGTATCCCAAGGACAAGAGATATGTGTGTGATCAGTGCGGCTGGGCTTTCGCCGATATGAGCAACATGAAGGACCACAAGCTGCGGCACTTTGAGAAGAAATACGCTTGTGACCAGTGCGGACGCAAGTTCTACACCCAGCCACTGCTCCGGCTGCACTTCCGAGTGCACCACATGGGCGAAAAGCCCTATGTGTGCAAGTACTGTGGAATGGGGTTCAACAACAGTCCAGCCCGCTGTCGGCATGAACGGTAAGGATAGCCTCCCAAGGCCCTCTTCCCAAGACTGAACTCTCTTATACAAATTTCTTAGGCAAGTGCATCCCAACGAACTGGCCTTTAAGTGTAAAATCTGCAATAAGCGCTTCAACAGCGAAAAGAGCCGGACCAAGCATCAGGACGGGCACAAGAGCAACGAACCCGATGTGCACTAGTAAGGTCCACCTCCATAAATATAAAATCAAGTAATATATAACTCTTATGCTTTTCCAGTTGCGAAACCTGCAACAAGGAGTTCAAGGAGGCCTCGTTTCTGCATCGCCACTTCGCCACTAAGTACCATCGCAAGCGCATGAATCGGCTGGCGGAGAATCCTGCAGACAACGAGACAATGACGGATCTGGACGAAAGCCAGGGAGATCCTGACGACTTGAGCCAAGAAGATATGGACGACCTCTTTGAAAGGATAGACGACGATCAGTATGATGATGATCAGTATGATGACCAGTATATTGACGATGAGGTTAATGCTGAGGAAGGGAAAGACGACCAGATTCTCGAGGAGGAGGAGGATGTCGACTATGAGGCAGCTTACTTGGAAGAACTGGACGAATAGCGGCCTTTAAAATGTCAGCAGAAATACCAGGAAAACATTATGTCGAGAAACTGTGTGGGTTCAGTTAAGAAATTTTTTTAAGCAATCTAAGCCGGGCATCGGATTTACAAAAAATGACTAATGAATAAATATATTATTAAGTTGTACTTGTCTGACGTTTCCTATTTTGACTAACTGGTATTCATTTTCCCAGGAACTTAAATTTAAATAATAATTAAAATGAATTCATTAGAAGACTGTCCTTAGACCACCTTCTAAAGTTCCATCATGGAAACACTGTCCTCACGACTAGACCACCTTAAATACTTGCATCATGGCAACACAAACCGATTCATGTACGATCCTGATCGTGCAAAAGTGTCGAGAGAATTGGCGCTCAAGCTGCGGTCATACTGTTGTTGTCGGTTTAATTGTCGCCGCGGGATGGCTTTCCAATGCCGGTTGTGTGTCCGTAAGTTTTACGAACTTGAGCCCATTGTGTTATTTGATATAAAGAACCATGAAGTACTCTCAAAAATCAAAGACATCACTGGATTAACGGTTTGTTTTAATACATTATGTGTGCATACATATGTATATAATTTCGCTTTTACTCCATTTACAGTTAGACGATGAAGAGCACCTTCCAAGACACATTTGCGCCATCTGTCAAAAGCAGCTGACTTTGGCCAGTGGATTCCGGGATAGGTGTCGTCGTGTCCAGCGAGATCGGTTTAGAAAAACTCGTGTCATGGAAGCTGAAAGCCGGGAACCTCCTGATTCGAAGGCGGAATACATAGTTCCCAACGCTAGTTCAAGGGTGCCCAAAGGAAAGTTCATTCAGATTGGCAAACAGATGTCCCTGCCTAAACAAGCACTGGTTCAAATTCGGAAAGTCAATAACAATGAAGTGAATCCAAAACCTAACGATGCTGAGAACATTCCACCGGTTCCAAGGCCTAAGGCTAGAGAGTTCCTCATTTGCGATCAGTGTGGTCACTCGTTTAAAAACTCTACCAACCTGAAAATGCACAAGTTGCGCCACAGCGGCCTCAAGGATTTCGCCTGCACAAGCTGTGACCAGCAGTTTGTTAACCCATACCTGTTGAAGGTGCACATACGGGTCCGACACCTGGGCGAAAGGCCATTTGCCTGCCGGTTCTGTGAGAGGAAATTCTTTACCAGTGGCGCACGCACTTATCACCAGCGGTAATTCAGCATTCTAGCAATGCTGATGGTTATCCATTTTGTATATATTCGTTATTATTTCCCCAGGACGCAACATATTCGAGACGGAAGCTACAGGTGCGACTTATGCAGCAATGTGTTCAATACCAAGTCCGACTTAAATAGCCATAAGTACAGTCACCGAAAACCTTTTCAGTGAGTGAGTTGTGATACATATTTATAAATAATATAATGCCCTTTCATTTACTTTTAGATGTGAAGTATGCAACGTAAGCTTTTCTCGGAGATGCAACTTGAAACATCACTACGCCTCGAAAAGGCACTGCAAAATAGCCACCTCAGTTGGGGGTGCTCAGCAGGGCTTGATCATAGATGATGACGATTAATTGGATTTTAGACAACATAGTCATAGTATTGTTTGTTGAGGCGCAGGATTGTCTCACGATACATTCAATTTAGTCCGGAAAGGATCTCATATATTTTCGAAGAAAGTGTTGGGAAAAATCGTATGAATTCGTAACGTTTATTTATCATTTTCACACTGAATCGTATTTTGTTATGTTTTTGTACCAAGTAGACCTTAAATTGCTCTCATTTATTGCTAGAATAGCTCTCACTTAACTGCAATGGTCGCAACGTTTAATAATTAAACTAATAAGCGCCTTGGATATATATTTATGTACAAATATATAAACATTAAATAAATTAAATTTTCATAAACAATTTTAAATTGTGCGCCAATTCCGCAAGCTTGGCAGTCACCAGGGTAAGCCGACACACCTTTCACTACCGAACGACCATCAAAAAAGAATCAAAAAGTGAAAGTATTTGGGAAACATTCAAGATATGGTATGTGTCGTGTCTCATTAATCCTCTGAAATGTCTTCACAGTGTCGAACTTGTGGTCAGGAGACATATAGCAACAATGCAATAAATATTTTTGAGGGAAACGATGTTATCATCAATCAAATCGCTCTGGTCACGGGCGTTAAAGTGAGTATTTTTGAGATACACTTTGGAAAGTTTCATAAAATAAGATCAACTGCAGCTCACTGACAAACTGGATTTTCCTAAAAGAATGTGCTTTTCTTGCCTGGTCAGCTTGAACGAAGCCATTCAATTTCGAGAGCTTTGCGTTGCCACAAACCAACGCCTTAGTCTTGAATTCGAATCCGATGATCAGGAGGATTTTGAGGATCCTAGGAGCAGGGAAGAGTTGGCTTTGCAGAGCAGTGTGACGGAGATGTTTGAAGATGACGTGGAAATCGAGATACTTAAGCAGATTAAGGAGATCATTGAAGAGGATGAAGCGGAATACTACAATACTCACTTACAGAAGCAGCAGAGAGTGTCGGATCTTGGGAAAAAGAACGATATACCGCCGAACAACTTCCCGGAAACCACCTGCAGCTCATCTCATGAAGCTGAACAAATCCCCCAGGAGAGCACAGAAAAAAGCGAACGGAAAAAGTACAGAGCCAGAAAAATATATTTCTGTGATCAGTGCGGCAAGGAGTTCAACGACAAGGGCAACCTCAATCTGCATCTGGTGCGCCACACAGGCGTTAAGCCGTTCGAGTGTCCGGACTGTGGCAAAAGAGAGTTCAGCATGTACCTCATGAACATCCATATCCGCGTCAAGCATCGTGGCGAGAAACCCTTCGTCTGCAAGTACTGTGACGAGAGTTTCTCGGACAGCACCCAGAGAAGTCGCCACCAAAGGTTACTCACTGTATATCTAATCTCGGGATACACACAACTAACATTCGTTTTTTTTTAGCCGGATGCATGAACTCAAAGTGGCAAATAGAAGGTACAATTGCGCATTCTGCGATCTGAGATTTGAGGTCCAGTCCCAATTGAAGAAACACGAGATCGTGCACTCTGGTCAACGGAACTATCCGTAAGTAATGTACCCCAAATTTTAATTGTAAAATTTTTTAGTTTACTTATTTTACGTACTTTCCAGCTGCGAAATATGCAATGTGGCCTTCACCCGTAAATTTAATCTGCAGACCCATTTCCGATCGAGGCAACACAAAAAGAATGCTGCGGAAAAGTCAGAAAAAAGCTTGGAATAGAATAAGATTAAAATAATCAATTTGAAATTTCACCATTCTCATGGAAATGTGCGGGCTCTTTACCATTTACCTCGAATCGTATTAAACTTGTAAACAAATTAACAACTCTGTTTCTGCCGCTGAAATAACTTTTTAAATAAACGAATAAATGTTAGTTTGAAACTTACGAAGCCACCAGGTCACTTATAAAATACTTGTGTCGCACCTGTGGCCAGGAGGAAGAGTACAGCAGTAAGCTATTTTACAAGGAAAACACAGAAATCTTAATAATAACAACAACAATTTCGCCATTCCCACGGACACACAGGCACGTTAACACCATTCGCCACGAAACGTCACATAATTGTAAATAAAACAATTTTGTTTATGTTTGCACACTAAGAAATCAAAGTAATTCAAACAATTTTGTTTAAATTGATTGGATTTAATCAATTGGATAAATAAGGTCTGCAAAATGCCTATGCTGTGCCGCACCTGCGGCCAGGGGGCAGAGTATTCAAGGGACCTGTTTGACCAGGAATCCACAGACATTCTGGGCAACATACTAAAACTGACGGGGATTCTGGTTAGTTTGCAAACTTGACGATCAAGTGCTGAATAATTTAAAATATTTTGGTTTTCAGTTAACTAACGAGAATGGCGTGCCCACGCGTATCTGTGTGTCCTGCCTGCTGGACCTTAAGGAAGCCATTGCCTTTCGGGAGCGCTGCATCACGACAAACAACTTGTGGTTCGAGGAGCAGAACGATCTTGAGGAATTAGACGCTGCGAACATGGAGGCGGAGCTGGAAATACCACAGGACATCAACGAAGAGGACGGCATAACTTCTGATACAACAGATGAGGTGATATATCCCTTAGGTACACAGGACGCCATTCCTGCGGAGGAGGACTTGGATCCCTTGATGAGTAAAGAAACTATCAAGGTAGAGAACGAATCCCTACATTCAGACGCTGAGCCCTGCGGAAATGATACCCAGGAACTCGAAGAAACTCCACCACCACCGGCAACTCGTAAAAAGCGAGGCAGACCACCCAAAATGCATAAAAAAAAAGATACACCTGAAATGAAAGCGGCTAGGAGTAAGAGGAGAAGGATTAGGGCAATGGCGAAGGGTCTGTACTTTTGTGACCAGTGCGGGAAATCCTTCAACGACAGTAGCAACTTTAATACCCACCTGACCCGACACACGGGTGTGAAGAAGTTCGAGTGCGAGGAGTGCGGCCGCAAGGAGTTCACGCAGCACCTTCTCAATCTACACGTGCGGATCAAGCACCGCGGCGAACTCCCGTATGTGTGCAAGTACTGTGGCCAGCGGTTCGGCAACTGCAACTATAGGTTGAAGCATGAGCGTGATCATAATCCAGGACCCCGGAAATACAAGTGTCCTATCTGCGATAAGGGATTTAAGGACAGTAAAACTCTAAAAGATCACGGCCTGGTCCACTCTGGTGAACACCCATTCCAGTAAGTTTAGATTGAATTGTGAAGCGATGTATGTACATAGACTGATCCGTTCCTATTCCTCCTCCACAGCTGCAAGCTTTGCCAGACGCACTTTGGTAAGAAAACAAGCCTGAAAACTCATCTGCGTTCGATAGGGCATAGGAAAAGGGCCGAGGAGCAACAGAAAAATCCTGAGGACGAAGATTTGTATACAATGCCTAAACCCTCTAGCACTCGTGGCCCTGGAAACCATTCCGTATATCACACAAAAATAGTTTAGGTTGTATAGTTACGTTACTCTAAAAAGCCTAATATTAAATTATCAATTGCTAACGTTAAAAATTCGCCATTCTCATGGACACGCAGCCAGGCCATTCGCCACGAAGCGGCTGATGTTTGTAAACAGAAGAACAACTCTGTTTTTGTTTGGAAGTGAAAAACAAAATAAATGAAGCAATTTTCGTTGACGGGAAACTAGAATGCCTACGCTGTGCCGCACTTGCGGCCAGGAGGCGCAGCATTCAAGGACGCTGTTTGACAAAGACGCCACTGACATTCTGTTCGACGTCCTGAAACTGACTGGGATTTGGGCAAGTTTGTGTACTTGACTATTGAAGCCCTAAATAATTGTAATTGTTGGTTTTTAGTTTACTGACAAGCAGGGCATGCCCACGCGTATCTGCATGTCCTGCCAGCTAGACCTTAAGGAAGCTATTGCCTTTCGGGAGCGCTGCATCAGGTTGAACAAGTTTTGGTTCGAGGAGCGAGATATTAATGAGGAACTAGAAACTGCGGGCAAGGAGGCGGATTTTGAAATGCTGCCAAGGGATGCTCCGCAGGGTAGGAGGAAAGAGGATGCTATAACATATGAGGTCTCAACTGAGATCTTGGATCCCTTGATGAACGAAGAAACTATTAAGGTGGAGAAAGAATCCCTACTTTCAGAAGCTGAGCCCGTGGATTCTGGCAATCAGCAGCTCCTAGGAGTTGAAGAGCTATCGTACCCTGAAACACGCAAAAAGAGAGGCAGACCACCCAAAAGGCAAAGCGAATCCTTGGTAATAAAGCCGTCCCGGAAGAAATCCGAAAAAGAAGCGACTAGGAGAAAATGGGCAAGGGCAAAGAGGATTCACGCAAGGGAGGAGGGCCTATACTTTTGTGACCAGTGCGGAAAATCCTTCAGCGAGAAGGGCAACTTTAATGTCCACCTCACGCGTCACACAGGCCTAAAGCAGTTCGAGTGCGAGGAGTGCGGTCGCAAGGAGTTCACACTTCACCTTCTGAAACTGCATGTGCGGATCAAGCACCGCGGAGAGCTGCCTTATGTGTGCAAGTACTGTGGCCAGCGATTCGACAACTGCATCAAGAGATTGCGGCACGAGCGTGGACACAAGGAGAGCCCTGTCCATCGGCCGCATACGTGCGCCATTTGCAAGAAGGCCTTTAAGGACAAGATCACCCTGAGGTTCCATGCCGTGGTGCACACCGGCGAACAGGCATTTCAGTAAGTTGGAATCACGATAAGTCCTGTTTTTAGCTAGCCTTATAACCCATTCGTCTTTAGCTGCGAGCTCTGTCAGGCTAGCTTCAATCGGAAAAGCAGTTTGCGAACTCATTTTCGCTCAAAGCAGCACATAAAAAGGACGAAGGAACAGGAACAGAAAAAATCAGGCGATCAGGATGGTTCTATTTAGGAGGATGGGTAAACTATTTAGATTATTTTCCATTTATTTTTAACATATTTATACATATGTATTTTTTGTGGTTGTTAATTATTTTGAAAGATCTTAAAACAAAAAATTCTTATGTAAGAAACGTAAATACATATGTATTTTATTTTATAAAAGTCTAGTTTTAGTAGCTTTCAAAGCATTTACATTAGGTGTACATGGTAAAAATAAACAAAAATATGGTTAAAACTGCCTTTTTACAATTATAAGCGTCACTTTTATATATTTTAAACTTCGAGACTTGCAAACGAAAATAGTTCTCGATATTATTGATGAAATACATGAATTTCTGAATACAATAAAACATTCTCTGGTATCAGTAAAATGCAATCTCTTTAATTCCACATATTTCTTTAATTAATTCGAATATTTTGAATAAGTTCAGTTCGTGTATAGCAGCGAATTCATAATAAGTTTATACACACTTTTTATTGAATTTGGAATACATGAACTTGGTGTCGTATAAACATAGCAAGTGCCTGCCGTCCTGGTTGCAACCCCTACTTTAACGTTTTGCAGCCCTGGTAACCGGGCTGTCTGTGTTTTGCTGAAAATTCGCATTTGCCGGCAATGGATGCGCAGTGCGCTGCTGCGCTATCAGTCGGTTCAAAAATCTGTGGAAAACGCACCCTCTTTTCCGACAGAAAAACGAAGTAGTTCAAGCAAAGTTGGAAGTTGCTTGAGCCGAACTTTCCAAAGATAAGGAGGTCTTCCACGGCAGCTGATTGTGGTGATTCAAACAGGGTGTGTCTCGCCAACTCCTGTGCATGCCATTAATATTTGACTCACGTATTTACGTTCGTCTTGGTTTTTACAGAAAAACGAAAGCGTGTTATCCAAAGACAAAGGCCTTGCCGAAATGTCGCCAAAAGAGGGCTCCCAGAGGCAGGTTAACAAGAAGCTGGTGGAGCTGCTCCTAACGGAGGCGGAGGAAACTGGTGCCATATTCACTGAAAATAATGCATCCTGTGAAAGCATTGATGATGAAGAAATACGGCAAGATGACTGTTTCGATGATGAAAGCAAATGCCGAACTTGCTCCCAATACCTGATGCTGGATGACACTGTCAAGGATCTCTACGATAAGCGCAATATAGAGCTCCTCCATCAAATTAAGTCTGTTACAGGGATCTGGGTAGGGCTTGTTTCTGTTATTAAACCATAAACTCTATAGTCTTTTTATATTTTTTTTTTTAGATAAAAGCGGGAGTGCAAGGATTACCCCATCATATCTGTGAAAGTTGCCAGGAAGCGCTTAAGAAAGCCATTGAATTCCGTGATAATTGCATACAAGCCAATGCAGAATTTAACCAAATAGAGAAAGACTCAAGAGAAGGGTTTGAAATCCATGACGAAATAGAATTAGAACTTGAAAATGTGCTGTACGAGGAATCATCTAAGCATATTAACAAGGCTCCAGGAATGGGATTGTCTGATCTTGAATTCGGTTCCGACAACGAAGACGATTTCCCGCTACACAAAAACAATACATCACCGGAAGAAGACATCCTCTCAGGCAAGCAGACTTCCAGGGAAAGAGAGCATGTTTGCCGGGAGATTGCCAGCATTACCAAATGTATAACGAAAGAGGAAATCGGCAGGATCGAATCCGGGGCCGAGGTCTACAAGGTTGTGCTAACTGAATGCAATCGCGCAGAGGAAACAAAGCCCTCTGAGCGGGAAGAGAAACCAAAGTATTCCCTGGCAGTGCCGAGGCGAAAGAAACCCAAGAAGAGCTTGGAGGAACAAAAGACCATCCGCCGCCTTAAACATTTGGCAAAGCCGTTCAGTTATGTCTGCGATAAGTGCGGCCATGCCTTCCGCATGCCGGACCAGCTGCAGATTCACTTACTCCGGCACAACCAAACGAAGAACTTTGCCTGCCCGGAGTGCCCGAAGAAGTTTTACAATTCCTATCTGCGAAATATGCATCAGCGAGTGTGGCACAGGGGGGAAAAGCCATGGTCTTGCAATCACTGCAGCGAGACGTTCTCCAATGCAAATTGTCGTCAAAGGCACGAGAAGTTAGTAATGGTCCATAACAATTTCAAGATTGAGTCTAATGTCATAATTGCAGGGAAGTACATGGGGTAGGTCCCCGGATCAGCATGAATCGCTCGGAACGGAGCCAAGTGAATGGCCTGAGGGAGAAGACAAAGGACGGCCGACACCATTGCATTCAGTGTGCCAAGACTTACTCCTCGAAGCGCGCCCTTGCCTGGCATATGAACTCCCATACCGGCGAAAGGCCCCTTAAGTGTAAGGACTGTAAAAAAGGCTTTGCGGGGCCAGCTGCCCTGAGGCGTCATGAAATGACCCACGATAAGTTGCCATTTCATTGTGAGATATGTCTCAAGGGTTTCCTTCTGCGCTGTCAACTCAAGGAACACCAGGTTGTGCACACAGGGGAGCGACCATATTGGTAAGTCCTTAAAAATGGTTTAATTAACCTTGTATTTATGTGTTTTATCCTGCCAGGTGCGAGATCTGCGACATCTACTATAGGTTTAGACGCAATTTAGACAAGCACAACAAGAGCGACGCGCACAAAAATAAAGTGTTGACCACTCAGTCAGAGGAAATGGAAGGATTTCCAAATGCATTTAATGATATCTTAAGCTGCAACACAGATTTTGACAAGAACAACGTGTTTATAACTCAGGAAGACGAACTCGATGGACTCCAGCTTACGCTCACAGAATTTTTAAGCTGCTGAATATCCTAAAAATTTTGAATTAATTTTATAATATTAAAACAACTGGAAAAGACGGCTATCCAGCTGAAGAAGACTCATGAAGAGTACAACTAAAAGTCATAGAAATAATTTTAACATCAACTTTTGAATCTCAAATGTAGTATCACTTAAATACAAAAGACTTGACGCACAACAGGAATGTGCCAAATACTCAAGAAGAGCTCAACGGAATGTCATATATACAATCTCCATTAAATATTAATGTACTTAAGTAACAGTGATTATGTACACTCTAAATGAAAAATATACGTACTTAGACATATTTGTCCAAATAAAGAATATCGAAATGCATTTAAATACCATTCCTTTTTCTAAAATAAAGCTACAAAGCAAACATTTTTTATTTAACTTAAGGGGGTTTCCTGAATTAGGAGGCAAAAAAAATCGATTTTTTTTATTGCTTAAATCGATAGATAAACTATCTAAGAATATACCACAAAAATTTCAGAAGCCAATTCGAAGTATTTTCGAAGATACAGAGATGAAAGCAAAGGAGCGCCGGGTAGGTTTGCAGGCGCTTTGCGAACTTTGAGGCCCGTTTTCTCACTTTTAATTTTTACGATTCTTTCGAATTGGCGGGAAAGATAACAAAAAAACTTATTGACCGATTGAAACGAATAAGGGCTTATTCTCTTTAGAATTGAATTCTCTTCTATTTGAACTAAAACGGTTGTTGAAAACCGCTTTTTATATTTTTTACAGCATGTTAAAGTCAATATTTCATTTTTCGGGATAAAATATTGACTTTAACATGCTGTAGAAAATATAAAAAGCGGTTTTCAACAACCGTTTTAGTTCAAATAGAAGAGAATTCAATTCTAAAGAGAATAAGCCCTTATTCGTTTCAATCGGTCAATAAGTTTTTTTGTTATCTTTCCCGCCAATTCGAAAGAATCGTAAAAAAATTAAAAGTGAGAAAACGGGCCTCAAAGTTCGCCAAGCGCCTGCAAACCTACCCGGCGCTCCTTTGCTTTCATCTCTGTATCTTCGAAAATACTTCGAATTGGCTTCTGAAATTTTTGTGGTATATTCTTAGATAGTTTATCTATCGATTTAAGCAATAAAAAAAAAATCGATTTTTTTTGCCTCCTAATTCAGGAAACCCCCTTAAACTAGCACTCAAAAAAACATCCTGAATTGTATGTTTTAAAATAGTATGCGTTTACCGCGTAATCGAAAAAACGCTAGATTTTTTAGGGTTAAATTTCGATTTTTCAAGGTGAAAGATAAATTTTCATCTGGTCACACTGGTTTTTGCAGCTCTAGAGTACAGTCGCAATTTTGTAAAAAAAAAAAATAAAAAGTTTGACCCGAGTGGAAACTATTGTTGGATTCACAGAAGAAATCCTTTCCAGAGCTTCGGGCGAGCAGTATCCATCCGAACCCACGCCCAAGGACCAATGTCGTGGCGGGAATAGCGCGAAACGCACCCAAAACAACATGATAAACCCAATTGCAACCGAGTCGGAGGCCATCAATTCAGCCACCTATGTGGACAACTACATTGATTCCGTGGAGAACCTGCCGGACGACGTGCAGCGTCAACTGTCCCGCATCCGCGACATCGATGTGCAGTACAGAGGTCAGTTTCGGGGCGAATTCCCGCGGCAAAGAGTGAAATAAACCTAACCTCCTCCTCCCCGTTTCATCCTATTGGCAGGCCTAATCCGCGACGTGGACCACTACTACGACCTGTATCTGTCCCTGCAGAGCTCTCCCGACGCCGGCCGCAGATCGCGGAGCATTTCGCGAATGCACCAGAGCCTCATCCAGGCGCAGGAGCTGGGCGACGAAAAGATGCAGATTGTCAACCACATGCAGGAGATTATTGACGGCAAGCTGCGCCAGCTAGACACGGACCAGCAGAACCTGGACCTGAAGGAGGAGCGAGATCGGTATGCGACGCTCCTCGAAGACGGCCAGCCATCGAAGCTGCAGCGGCTGCAGAGTCCGATGAGGGAGCAGGCTAACCAGGCGGGAGTTGGCGCTGGAAACGGCGGTCTGAACGGTAATGGCCTGCTCACAGACAAGGCTTCCTACGCCTTGGGTGGCTATGCAGCATTGGTATCGGGATCCGGTGGCTTAGCCTCCGGTAACGGTGGCAGCTCTACCCCCAATTCCGAGCGCTCTGAGCGTCATGTCAGCAATGGCGGCAACAACGGCTCCAACGGCAATATCAGCGGAGGTGCTGGCGGAGATCTGCAGCGCACTGGCAGCAAACGATCGAGGAGGCGGAACGAGAGCCTGGCCAACAACGGCAACTCCCTGGAGATGGGCGGCAATGAATCAAACTCTGCGAACGAGGCCGGTGGAAGTGGCAGCGGCGGAGGAGGAGGAGGCAGTGGCAGCGGTGAGCGCAAATCCTCCCTGGGCGGCGGTAGTGTATCGGGACAGGGACGGAAGAGCAATCTTCAGGTGGCGGTCGGTAGTTTAGCCAGCGGATCAGCCTCCACCAGCAGCGGAGTGGCAGGAGGTGGTGCCAGCGGCAACGCTGGAGGAGGAGGCGCCGGCGGCAACAATTCCGGCAAGAAGAAGAAACGGAAGGTGCGCGGTGCGGGCGCTTCGAACACCAACGCCAGCGCGCGTGAGGAGACGCCGCCGCCCGAGACCATTGATCCGGACGAGCCGACATACTGCGTCTGCAATCAGGTAAGCTTTAAAAGGCGCTTTTCTTTCCAAGAAGTTGTTGATAACACGCCCATTTTTTAGATCTCCTTCGGCGAGATGATTCTGTGCGATAATGACCTGTGCCCCATCGAGTGGTTCCACTTCTCGTGCGTCTCCCTGGTGCTGAAGCCCAAAGGCAAGTGGTTCTGTCCCAACTGCCGCGGTGAGCGGCCAAATGTGATGAAGCCCAAGGCGCAGTTTCTCAAGGAACTGGAGCGCTACAACAAGGAGAAGGAGGAGAAGACCTAGATCCGCCCCCGCTGCTGCTCTGTGTCAAACACCAGGCTCTGTAAATTATTCGATCATAAGATTTACCTTAATGTACATTTAGTGTCCCCATCCCCGTCTCCATTTTGCCCAGTTTGGATCCTATGCTTCATTGGTTAACGGTCAACATTTCTCATTTCACATTTCTGTACAAAAAAAAAAACCTTTCTCTATGTACACACACACACACACACACCTACGAACTCGTATACTTAGAGTACATTTTAAAATAATTTACGGTAATAAACGTTAATATTCTCAAAGCTTCCTTTTGATATCTTCTCCCGACAAACACAAATCTACGCATAGTTTTACGAATCTACAGTTTTAATTGTCGTTTAGAAGACTAAGGCATTCGATTCAATACATATTACAGTAGTTGATGGTGTATAAAGGCTTGTAAAATATATATAAATGTATATAAAACTATTTGGTAAGCATCTGTAGAAAATGGATGTGGAATTCTTATTGTGGAAATGCTCCTGGACGGACTTCCTTTGTAGCGTGTCAAACGTAGTCTAAAAGTATATTCGAGCTATAATGATTGTTGGTATGGCTCTCCTCCTCATGGCATCAGCAGTTCAATGTTTGGATTCTGGATGTTCAAGAAGATCTGGTACTGCGAAAAGACCACCAGCCAGCAGTAGATCTAAGTGGGGAATAAAGAATATCGTTGAAATAGATTAAATAAATATTTTAAGACCAAGTGCTGCCACTCACATTGTAGGCCACCCAGACGAAGTTCAGGAGAGCCGAGAAGGTTTGCTCCAGCTGAGAAATAGAGAATAATCTTTAATAAAGATTTATGTATACAATATCTGTTACTCACATAAATGTAATAGCCTCCAATAAGCCACAGACTCCAGCAAAACTGGAAGAGAATGGCCAGGCCGATTAGACCCAACCAGGGCAGCAGCCATCCGCGAGTGCTGTGGGAATAGATTTAAATTCATGATTTCCCGCTTAACGTGGCCAACTCACCTAATCTTGATGCCATAATACACCAGGTAGGAGGACAGGATGATCAGCAGAAAGTAGATAATGAAGAAGCCACCGGCAATGGGCATCGACGTCCGGATATCCGTCTCGAACAGCGGCGAGTAGAGCTGCGCAGACTCCCCGCCTGCCAGCATGTAGCCGATAAGTGTGATCATCACCACGGAGAGCGCAGCCGTGTAGCCGGCCACGGCGTAGCTGCCCGTTCGGACATTGTCGGACCAGATAATCGGGGACCAGCAGGAGCTCAGCACCACCATGTTTCTATTCGAGGATAATCCAATGAAACAGTAGCAAATTTATTGAGTAAACATTCACTGGGGTTGGACGACACAGTCACGCCCAAATATTTTGGACAATGAAAATGTTGACAAAACAGTTGGTTTTTGTTCAATTTCGCTTACCACTTGCGCCTTAGTGGGTCTTAAAGGTATTCAAGAACAGTTAAAACTGTTTTAACTTTGTGTTCTTGGGCGTGGGCGTACTTTTTTATGAATTGTTTTTAATTAATAAAACAACCAGTGCTGCCAGTTTAGCTATTTGCCCACTAGATGTGGCGTCTCTCGGAATATATTGTAAACTAGCGGGAAATATATAGACTTTCCACGCAATATTAGCGTTTATCTTTTGAAAACATTGTATTTATAAGATTAATAATTTATTCTTAAATATCTGTGGCTCAATATTTAATAACAATAAGAATAATAACAAAAGTAATTGCGAATCTGGAGCAGATTTATCTTAAATTAAGAAAATAATATGGCTTGCTTTTTATGCATGCCCCTTTTTTATATCTAGCTTATTTTAAATTGTTTTGGCTCAGTTCTGGCTAATACTTGGCAGCACTGAAAACAATTTCGATTGCATATCGATATTCTTATCGATACCATTAAACATCGGCGTTGCCAGACCTTGTCTGGTTAAAGGCTTCTTATGGCGTTTTTCCTTTTCTCGGAAACTGGTCACTCCAAAATCGGTGGTTTTTGCCGGATGTCACGGAAAAGGTGGAAAACATTGATATTTAAAAATAGGGCGTAACTGGTACGTAAAGTAATATTTATATCTTGAGAACAGGGGGATTTGCAGCTAAACAGGACGGACAGAAGTGACATATCATAATGTACATATATAATACCCCTTCGAAGAGGAGGGGTGATGGAGTGAAACGAATCTACTTTTCACAGCTTGTAATAGGCGTAGCAAAAAAATCGTCATTAAGTTATCATGTTGAGTCCAATCTGGTCGCTTTTGCTCCTCGGAACGGCGACTGTAGTTGCCACTGAAGTGAACTATGCCACATCGACACGAGATATTGCCTCCCTGTTGCAAATCGAAGACGAGCTGGTCGGATATATGCGTCAGTATGTGCAGGAATTGCAGCATAAAATCAATAAAATGAGGAAGTATGTGGCAGACTTTTAATTTTAAAACGATTCTAATGATCGATCCGTCGTTAAAGGGTGCAGGAAGAGTGGAAAACTAGAAGTGAGCATGTGAAGACTGCTGCAGAAAGCTATGTGGCAAATCCCTTGGTAAGCTTTCCACTAATGCTACGAATGCATGTGGATGCGAAAAAGTGGCTGGAACTTGGTCGCGAGGATATACAGAAGGGTGCTAAAACCAAGATTCTACCATGTAGTTTAAAAAAATGTACAAATGATGTACTTCCGCAGGCCCCCTTCAAGAGTTGGTTAACCGAGACCTGACCGGTATTACGGACATGGATCTTCAGGATGCCACTCGCGGACTGTTGCATTTGCAGGACGTCTACAGCCTGGAAGAAAGAGATGTGGCAAAGGGAAAACTAAATGGAATACAATTCGAGTGAGATTCAAACAAAAAGTACAATATAAACTTGCTTATAAATGTTTCTTTAAAGCTCAAGGCTAAGTGCCGCAGATTGTTTGGCAGTGGGATCGCATCTAGATAGCCTGAACGACAGCAAACTGGCCTGCAAGTGGCTGAACGTATCGCTAGAGCAGTACGAGGAGCACATGGATCCTGTATACAAGATAATGGAAACGGGACGCTTTCATATTTGGGAGAAAATGGGCAAGACTCTACTTGAGATGCGTAAGTTGGGCTTAAAAACGGAGAAATTGATCATCCAAGGTTGAATATCCTTCAGATGACCTGAATGGGAGCCAATCAGCTTTTAAAAAATTATTGGAATGGGCTTCTAAGGAGGACGACACTTGGCTGGTCAACCACTTGTTGGATAACTTGCGCTACATAGCCGTTAATGTGGACAATTGTAGGGGTAAAAACATAGTTCCGGTAAAGTCCGTCCTGCGTTGTCGTTACTTGACAGAAGGATCCCCATTTCTTCGCCTTGCTCCTTTCAAATTGGAGCAGCTCAGTCTTGAGCCTTTTGTTGGGCTCTACCATGATGTTATCTCTTCAGCGGAGCGAGAGGATTTAATTAACCTGACGCAATCGAGACTAGAGAATCGCGGAACGCATCTCAATTTTGTGGAAGCCGCTGTGGAGAACAATGCATCCGGCTATGTGGAGAGTCTACACCGAAGGATCGAGGATATGACGGGACTTGAATTGGGAGAGAGTGAACCGCTAATGGTATACAACTTCGGCACTCTAGGTCAGCATTTCATCCACTTGGATTGCCAGACGCCCGAGGTGAGCCACCCTCAATTTTTTCTACAGTTTTAATAAAAAGTTTTCTTCTTTACAGAACTTTGTTGAACCGTTTCCAAAGGAATATCGTTCGGCTACGGTTTTGCTTTATGTAAGTCTAATATCTTATATGTTATATTTAAATGAATGAATACCTGAAAAGGTATATAAAATACGCTTAATTGTTCACAGCTAACTGAAGTCCAGGTCGGCGGCTATGCCTCATTCCCTGCCCTTGGATTTGGCTTTAAACCCACTCGTGGATCCGCCTTGGTGTGGCACAACATTGATAGCTCTGGGAATTGCGATAGCCGAAGTCTGCAGGCCACCTGTCCGGTGATTCTTGGAACGCAGTGGGGTAAATCCGTTAAACCGCCCATCGATTTTCATCCTCTCTTACCGCCCCACCAAACAGTGGCCACAAAGTGGATCAGTGGGTCAGGCCAGTGGCGCAGGAAGCCGTGTCGGAAGTGAAGTAAAGGCTGTTTTCCATTCGGTTCTTCTGTTTTTTTTTTTCCACATTTGCGATAATTTATTCAATAATTTTGTCGTTATTTATATTATGATAATAAATTTTATGCACTATTTTATAGTATTCATATTTAATTTATATGCAATGTAACATTATTTGGGGCTGGGGTTAAGGGAAGGGCTTGGCATCCAATTGTCCGCACTTGATATCCTTTTTAGTCCTTTTAGGGAGCGGGCTGGGCAGTAGCAGGGCTGTTTTTGGCGAGGGGAGCAGCGCGGGTGGGAACGACGCGTTTCCTGATACGTATGCAAATGATATCTGAGGCAGCGGGAGGCGCCTCCGGCAATATGTATTAAGAAGGGGGATATGAAAGGGTCCGCTAAGTAGGGAATGGGGAATGATGGCAGAACCGGAAACGGAAACGAACAACAAGAACGCGGGCGGGTGGAGAGATGTCGATGTCGGTGTCCGAGGGAATCCGTAGGAATACTTGATTGCCGGCTCTTCTTCTCTCAGTTTTGATATCACGCTCCCGCTGTCCATCCCTTGAGTCTCATCCACAGAAGCAGCAGCACCGCGAGCAGCGGCTGCCACGTCGTCCGGTGGCTCCGTGCCGCATTCCGCGCCGCCTCCTCCAGACCTGTGACAATGAATAAGGGAAATGGTTAATTCATACTTGACAATCGCAAAATCAATAAAGTAAGATTATTATGTCTGATGTCTAAGAATTTATTACTTAAAAGTTGAAAATTTCTCGTAAAACGATTTCGTAATAAAGGCCCCTTTAACTTTAAATTGATAAAGAAAATCAGAATATTAAGTAAAATATACATTTATTTGTGGTTTATAATAAGCAAATAAAATAATGTTGCTTAACATTTACAAGAAATAATAATTAACTCTTTGTTTTGCTCCCTTTGGAAAACATAAAATATAATTCCCATGAAACTTACCTCCGATGTAGTTCAGATGATCATCGTTGCTGGCAGAGGCGCCCGGATGAAGCTTGATTTCTGCAATACAAAACCCGCAAGCGAGCAAACAAAACAAATTAAAATCAGTGAGAGCGAGAGATGGCGGAGCCGAGATTGCGTATACGCACCGTATAACCGCAATGTGCCCTCGGCACGGCCCAGCGAGTTTGTGCTGACGCAGTGATAGGTGCCCACATCGGAGGGCGAGAAGGAACGCACCACCAGCAGCATGACGCCCCGATAGCCATCGCGGCGCTCCGTTATCCCGTACTTGGGCCTGCAATGGATATGGGTTGAAATACGGAGTAGAATAGGGCATGGTATGGTCCGCAGATGGTAGTGGATACAGAGATGTGGAGCCCTGGACACTGATGTCTGGCCCCGGAATTTCCCAACTCACCCATCAAGTAGCATTTCGGGACCCGGCGAGCCGGACTCCAGGCTGGCCGTGGATACGCTAGCGAATCCGTTGGAAGTTCGCGCCCCCTTCAGCCAGTAGGACACGGGCGAGGGCGAGGCCTCCACCTGGCATTCCAGCTGTACGTCGGAGCCCAGCGGCGTGCCCAGCAGTTGGCTGGGGGCCCTCACCATTGGAGCAACTGCGGATGGGAATGCGGGAGAGTTGGGAATTAATCCGTTGTTGCAGTGAAAGGTAAAAAATGTTTATATATTTTTCTTTAAAATATTCAGTTTGGGAAATTGTCCAATTGTTACAGCTTTCAGGCCTCGAGCAGTCAATGCTTTTAACCGAGACAAGAGTTTCTCTTTAAATTTAAAATGGTTATATTACGTTGATAAACTTTAAAGAAAACGAGGCTGAATTAAAGTATTAAATTGTATACACATCTAGAAAATATTATTCTTGGTTGTAATCCCTTACCGATAATTTTTTCTCAACTAAAAATATCTAACTTACACTGCACACTGAGCGAGACTCGTTTGCTGACAGCAGGTGGAACATCGTTGGAGGCTATGCACAAATAGGCGCCCATCTGACGTCTTTCCAGACGAAGCAGCCTCAGCGAGGATCCATTGTAGGACTCCACTAATGTTAATATGAAAATTATTAAAAATATTACATAAGAAGAGATTTAAACACACCTTTCATGAGCTCTCGGCTGCCGGGTTTGCGAATGAGAATCATTTCGCCATCTTCCCGCCGCCAGATGACGCGGGGTTGCGGATTTCCCGTGGCCTTGCAGGTGAGAGTGGCGTCTTCGCCTTCCTGCACTGCCAGATCGGCGGAGGACTCTTCGTTTATAATATCTGGCGGAACTATTGATTTGGAAAAACTTATTAAAAATACTTTCAGTTAAGATCACTAAACAATACCTTGCACATCGATGCAGCCCACTTGTTTCTTCATGGGACTTGTGTTTATTTGGCACATGTAGCAGCCGCGATCACTCTCCCGCAATTTGCTGATCTTGAGCTTCCAGCTAATGGGATAAAAAATTAATTTCAGATCTCTCTCTGACCTAGTTTAGACTTACGTGTGCATATCCTGGTGCATGACGCTAATTCTGGCATTGTGGGTGACCACGCGGCCTTGCAGGGCCAAGACCGTCTGATCGGAGGCTCTCAGCCAGCCCACCTGTGAATGGATGGAGAATTAATAGATAATTATCTCAAGATTCTGGGAGGTTTTGGTAGTTCTTATAACTCACCTTGTTCTTGCCAAGATTCCGTACTGAGCAGGCTAATATGGCCTCGCGTCCTGCCGGATATGTGACGTTGTTGATGAACCCGATGAACTCCGGATCGGGATCCAGCTGGGAATTGCTCTCTGCGGATGGACCAAGAACAAACTTAGTGGAAAGCCCGTTTGCAATTCAATCCCTGAGCCCACTTACCGTGATGCTGGTTCTGGGCCGAGCCACTGCCGCATTTTGTGGCCATTATCAGGATGACAAACAGCGCCGATTGCAGCAGCTTCGCCATATTGTTGCTGTCGCTGATGCTATCTGTGTTGCTATTGTTGTTGCTGTGGCAGTTGCTGCTGCTGCAGTTGCTGCGGTTCTTTTATTTGCTGCAACAGCTGCTTCCCTGGCCCTCTTTGTTTTCCTATTATTTTATGGGTATTTTAGTTGCTATGTTTTTTTTTTTTTTTTCGTCCTGTGGGGGTCTTGTGGCAATTTCTATTTGCATTTGAATGCGAATTTCTATTTCAATTCCGATTCCGATTGCGAATTCTATTTACCGCGTGTTTGTGCCAATTGGGCTTTGATTTCCAGATGGCTCGGTTCGCGTGCCACTGCCACGCCCATTGACATCTGCAAGTAAACAAGAAATGCGAGCAAAACATCAGTTTCAGAATCACGGTCCGTGGCGGAATCATCGGTTTAAATTTATTTCGCGATAAAGCAGAGAAAAAAAAACGAAGAGTCCAGCACAAAAGGCTGTTCAATTTGAGTGCACTAAAAGGCGGGGAGTTTTTGGGGGGGGTGATGGGGCAAGCATCGCCCATCGCTAACTTGATTATCAAGCGTTGCAACAAATTTGGCGTTGGCTGCTTTTAGGGGCATCCAATATGGCTGCCGGGCAAGCTCAATCTATCCATCGCAGCTATATTTTCACACTTGGAGAACAAAAGCTTTCCGAATTCAATAAAAAATTGTGATAAGACATGATTTATATTTGCTGATACTTAATTGGTTTTTTACTCTTAATATTATGGAAAGGGAAAATGTTTGTGTCTTTTGAATTTGATTTGAAACTATGGGGATTCATTTCGAAAATCAATTTGTATAAAAATTTTTGTATTATTCTTCTCAAACTTAGCTCATTACATATTACATTAAAATACTTAAACTAAAATACTATGCCACTGTTTACATTCAATTTTAAATAATATTAATAGGTCATTTGTTTTTAAACACTCCCAGAATCACTATTTTTCGTCCCTGACCCGGAAATTGATATATTAAGAGGCTTTCAGGTGACTTACAGTTTGTTCACGAAAAACTTGGCTTAAGAACTTTATTTTCTCCGGTGCAACACCACCCCTCGACCCCTCTTAATGCCGACCAGTTTCGGAACCGGGCTCAGCCTCAACACAAAGTAAAAGGCAAATGCAATTTTCAACACAAACAAAAATTTATGACTCGGCAGCATCCTTGGTCCATCCAGCCGTCAGGCTGCTGCAGGATGCACAAGTTGCAATAAAAGAAAGCCCCTCCTATTCGGTAGGGCATGGGAGTGGGCGTGGGCGAAGGCGGTTAAAAAGGCGAAAGGTGCAAAATATGAATGTAAATATTAAAAAAGTTTCGAGGCGCGCAAACTAACGAGGTGTTCGCTCATTTGCCGCAGCACCAAGCCAGCCACAAACTCTGATCTCCGCCCCACCTCTGGGCCCGGCTTAACCCATGAAACCCCAACATCAACACCTTTCCCACCTGCCGCATCGCCATGCGCTGTAATTTAATTCCAGTGTGAAATTGAGCGCTCTCCTAATAGTGAATTTGCACTAAACCAGTTAGCAAGTCGCCGGGGCGATGTCTTGCAAACTCCTGACGAGGTGTCAATGCGATGCCCCGGGATCCGGGATCCGAGAACCGGGATCCAGGAACTGGGAAACTGTGTTCCGCCTCCAAACTCCGCCGCGTAGTTCGAGATGGTGGCGACATTCAAAAGGCGGAAATGTGATTTACTTATTAAATTAGAGTTTCAGAATGTTGCAGGCAGGGAAGTTTACTTGGCGTGGGATGCACTCGAGCTTGCAGCTGGCGAAAGTTGCCCCAAGGTTGACTGTCGTTAGGGGATGAAGGGCAATGGGAAACGGGAAATGGGGTATGAGGAATCAATCTGCTTTCCTGCTAAGTGGATTACCTCATGACTATTAAATTTAATTGTTTCCCTCCCTTGTCCTTTTTCAATCGCATTCTGTCAGATTATCGCCGCATTTATGCGCGTTATTCAAGTGAAAATATTTTTATTGATAAAAAGATTGGCATGGCAAATATGCAAATGGTTGTGGCCCCTCCCTATTCTTTTAAGTTTTAATATTATTAGTTTGTAATTTACTTTATGGCGCGTATAACTTAATAGTTGATTCACATTCAATAGATTCAGTTATTTGAATAGATTCAGCAGATAAAATAAACAAGAAATAAAGAAAACTTGTGTCAGCGACTCTCCCCACTTTCAATTAATTTTAATTGCATTTTATTTAACTAACTAACATGTGATGAGTTTCTTCAATTATGTAAACACTCTCTTTCTTATTATATTTGCCGGCATTGGGGTTCGAATAAAGGGGGGAAATAAATACAAACAAAGTAGAAGAACCTGCAAATGCTCTGATTAATAAATTAAATCAAATGTTATGTCTATATTTGCATATAAAATAATTTGATCAGGCATGATTCAGAGTTTATTCTACTTTTAGTCATTAAGTGGTAGAGTTACTAGAGATTTCCATTAAGATTAATACCCATGATTGTTTCGCATTACATTTGTTTCCAGTTAATTAGCGATTTTCAAAGCCACCCCCCTTTCCATTGAATGACTGCTGTCCGTCCCATCGCCCACATATCCACCCCGCGATTGCCGTTCCCAGTTAATCTTCGGTCCTTATTTCAAGTGATTTCCGCTGCTGATGGCCAAAAGGCCCCGGACTCTCACCCGTAACTCCTGATTGTACGTCCGCCCGCCCGGAGGACAACATTTGCATTAGCACTCAAAAGACGGAATATTTAAGAGCGTCCCACAGTGCGAAAATAAATAAATTTGCTGTGTAAACAGAAGCGAGCGCAAAGAGAGCAAGCTGGAAAAACTGAGCAAGGAGCAGGATGAATGGGCTAGAAAAAAAAAATATAGAATGAGAAAAAAACATGACAAAAAGCTGCGCCCATCAAATGAAAAGAAGAAACTGCAAATCAGCGCAGTTGCACCAAAGGTAAACTTCTGGCCTGGCCAAGGGAGAGGGAGTGGTGGTTCGGGGGCGCGGCGGAAAAGTGGCAAAATGGGTCGGTAAATGGGCGGGGAAAGTGTGTGTGCGGGGCGGGGATAGGAAAGGCGGAAAGGGGAAACTCGACAAGTGGCAGCGCGAGGTCGGCGGCGCAAGTGAAAGGAGCAAAAGGCGACAGCAAAGCGAACTAACACAGCGGAAAAGCCTTTTGAAGTTCCTTTACTAACAACAACAACAGAGAGCACAGGCAGCAGCGTGAATAACAAGAAACAAGAGCTACAACAACAAAGGAAAATGGAATTAGAAAACCGAAGTTCCTAATACTCTAAGGTATAAGTGGAAAATTACCAATGTCTATTTGTAAATTAACTTGGAAGATATTTTTTGCTTAGGAACCTTTTTCATTAAAGGTAAATAAAATTCAGCAAGAAGAATTTTGTAAATAATAAATATTATATTTAAGTTTTAAAATCTCATTGTTTTCATAAAGATATACTTTAGTATATGGGAAGTATATATTGAAATTATTTTAAATATATTTAAAAGTGCTGTGAATTTTACTTATTTAAAAAATGGTCTGCCAAACAATTCGTTTTATTTAAATACTATTTTTCTTTTCAAATAAAGTGCAATAATTGTGTTTAAATTGAAATGTCATGTCCACTAGGTTGTTAAGCCCATGTTTGTTGATAATTGGCTGTTGGTATAAAAACAACATGTTTTTACTATTTATTTATTTATTTCCTTTTTTTCAGCACTTAAAATTAGGCTAAATTTTTTTGTGGAGAAACAGTTATTCAGATAATATTTGTGTTTTTGATCAAAATTCGCACCATAAACACAACTATAACCCCTACAAAAAATACAAAATAATAAGGAATTTCCATTGAAGTTTCCCATTAAAATTTTCAATAATTCCAAAGATAATGCCTGTGGTTGGTGTCATCATGTTGGTCAAATAGAAAGGACCCTCTGCCTAAAACGACCAAAAGCCTGTGCGGCAAGAACAACAGCAAACACTTGAGTTTGAAGTTAGAGAGAAGAGCGATGACGACGTCAGCAACGCGTCGCCAAGGCAGCGGAAAAGTGAAAAAGCGGAATAGCGGGAAAGCCTGGGGAAATGCCTGCGACAACGGGGAAGTCCGGCTCAGTCGTGCAGGCAAATGGCGAAATGTTCGGTAAAGCAATTTGACTTAAAAATGCTTAGCACTTGCATATCCTGGCATATCCTGGCATATCCCCGGCAATAGTCCCGGCCGTCGCGTCGTCCAGAGCCAGCTCAGCTAAATAAGGACAACAAAAGGAGACGACAAGCGACAAGGACGCCGACTGCGATTCAGAGGCAAGGACAAATAAAATAAGGAGCGGGCGCAGAGCCTTAAAGGATCACGAGCTGTGAGTGCGCTTAAGCTCATTTATTTAAATTAAAACAAACACTGCAGGCGCAAAGGCAGCCCAGGACCCTCGACTGGCTGGTGCCGGCTTCCATGAGGGGGCCATGGCTAAGCCGCCAAAGCTGCGCCTCAGTGCATACATTGTGCATGTCCTTTTGCCCTGTGACTGCGTTTGTGTGAGAGCCTGCAGGGCTCATGAGTGCCTGCGTGTGAGTGCAGAACTTTGGCAACATTTCCGATTGCCAGGACCAGGGCGCTAGCAAAATATTTTCTGCCATTTGTCTTTTTTGTCATTTGTCCGGTGGCACAAACAGGGCAAATTGTTTGCAATAATGCGCGTGCCAAGCGCCAGTTGGCAGTCGGTAGTCGCCAGGTGGCAGGTGGCAGGATGCGGCATTCTGCAGGTGCCAGCTGCCAGGTGAGAATTTCGGGCCCCACTGCTGAGCTGGCCCACTCGCATTTGTAAGTGCCATCGAATAACAATAACAACAGGGAACCTGGCAAAAAGCTGGAACAATGAGTGGGATTGGCATTACACGCCCGCCAGTTTACTGGTTTTGCATCGGCACGCTCAAAGGGATTATAATTAACAGGTGCAAAAAAGGTGGCAGGTCTTCGTATATATATCGTAATGAAACCAATTGTGTTGTCATTTCACAGCAGGCACAAAAATTGAATTCGTTTCAGTAAAAAAAATGTAAACTACAGAATGGATCCTAGCGGTTAGTCTTTAATATATTTCCGTTGAGGCCGCACTTTTTCTTGGTTTCATAATTACACTGATAATGGGTTTATTATACCTTTGCAGGGTATTATAAATATAGTCAGAAGCTTGCAAGGCACCGAAGGATTAATTTCACACCCTCTACACTATGTATACATACAAAATTAAAATCGGAAGCTAAATTACTTGGCAAAGGGAATATACAAGTTATACACCATAGCTTTTAAGAAAGTATTGAACTTTTAC